TCCTTTTGTTCTTCAGTCTAGTTGTGGAGGACGTTGCTTCACTGGCCCAAGTTGACACCATCATTGCGCTCTTCATGGGCGAGGCTTCTGGATCAGTCGTCAGCTTCTGGACAGCCGCTCATGGCGGCTGCTGGCCGCTCACGCTGGCTGCTGGCTACACACGGTAGCCCATGGCAACCCACCTGCCATCATCGGTGATTCACGGTAGCCCAGCTCCAGGTTGAGCTGTTGTTCAGCATCTTAGCTGTAGAGGGCAGTGTCACTGGCCCTCATATGTGGGATCTAAAACGGGGCCCTCTGGCATCCCAAGCCAGCTCTTAACCAACATGCCACTCGGCCGGCCTCACGCCTCCTTTTAATACACAAAAAAATTACTTATTTTTTTCCAGTCAGAAATTAAATTTATCAACATAATTTACCTATTTCTTGCCACATTTTAATTGCATCTTTTCTTTTGATTTCTCTTTTCTTCTGGCTTAAGTAGATCCTTTAGTAATTCTTTCAGGGAGGGTCTGTGAGTGATACAACCTCTTTTTTTTTTTTTTAATGTCTAAAAACAGTTTTGTTTTGTGTTTGCAAATATTTTTTCTGGGTATAGAATTTTAGGTTAAAAGGGTTCTTTCTTTCTTTCTTTCTTTCAACATGGAATAAAAAATTGTCCCATAGCTGATAAGAAGTTTGCCCTCAGCCTAGCTGGTATTACTTCACAGATAATGTCTTTATCCTTAGGTAGCTTTAAATTTTTCTCTTTATCTTTGATGCTCTAATGTTTACTTCAATGTGTCTAGAAGTATTGTTTTGTTTTAAAATCTTGCTCAGCACCATAGTGTGTGCTTTCTTTCTTCAATTCTGAAATATTCTCAACCATTATCTCTTTGGATATTTCTTCTTCACTGGCTTCTCTAGTCTCTACTTCCAGAACTCCTTTAAGACAAATGCTGGGGCCTGTCTTTCATATGCTTATCTTCTGTTTCATATACTTCATCACCATATCTATGCTGTGTTCTGGATGAATTCCTGGAGACTATCTTCCAATTCACAGATTCACTCTTTGACTCTGAACAGATTATGTTAGAGTAGACTTTATTCCATGTATTGAGTTTTTTATTTCAACAGCTATTTTTTTATTTCCGATAATTCCAATTGTTTTCTTTTTACACCCATCTGTATCCATTCTGGATTCATTTTTATTCATTCATTGTATCATAATTCATTATCACTTTTATAGATGTTATTAATTCTTTATCTTTTGAGGATCTTAAATATATTTAAGTCATACTCAAAGTGTGCCATGATTTGTATTTCATCAGCAGTAAATCCACTTCTCACTTGTTGATGTTTTTGGCCGTCTTTCTTAATGTCAGTTCTTCCTGGGTATTTACATTTTTCCCACCCATTTTTCTCTCTTCTCAGTGCAAGGCACCCTGGTTCCAGTTCCCATCAAGGCTGTCAGTTAACACAGCTCTGGGGACACCATTCACATCATACAACCTAATGGCCTAGAGAATCATCAGTCTCATCAGAGCAGCCTCTTGACTCATCTTCCTGCTACTGGTTTTGCCTTCCCTCCAAGCCATTCTCCTTACTCCAGCCATGACATCTACAGTGCAACTCTGATCATGACAC